AACAATATATATATATATATATATTTCCAATAAATCCAATTGTACATCAAATAACTTTTCTCATAAATGCACAATCATCCACAGGCCAAATTTTTTATTATTTATTTTGGGATGGGAGAAAGCCCAAAAAATGACATAGTTATAGAAAAATATATATATAAATATTAAATTTCTTCAGGTTTAAATGGCTACAAAAGTAAAGATCTTTTAGGCCTAACCCTTCGATTTAGGTTACCCAACCCATAATGGAAATAACTTGGGCTTCATAAATAGAACTTGGGTTATCTTTGAAACCCAACCCATAAAACAAACTCAAAAAAAACTTAGATTTTAAACATTAGGAAGGAGCCACGCAAATGCAGACCCACACAAACACCGGGCACCCAACCTGAGTGCAATAGAGATCACCAAGCCTACATATTCGGATTGTAATCTCATGATAGATAATTTAGACTCAATCAACTAAAAATAAATTAATTAATTAATTAAAATAAAATTGAAGATAATTGAACATAAAAAGTATTGAAGATGTTATATTGATTATATTCTCTTAGCTCTGTTTATTTAGATGTAAAATATTTTTTAGAAAATATTTTTTTAGTGTTTTATTGTTAAAAATTAAAGTAAAATATTTACGAAATTAATTATTTTATTCAGACTTAACAAAAATAATTTACACATCAATTTTTAATAAATTATTTTTCACACACAATCCGATTGACTCTATTTTAATCTCTACCTAGATCTTTGTCAAATACCGAAAAATAAAAATAAAATATATTTTACCTTAAAAAAGAAAATAGTTTTTTAAAAAATATTTTACATAAAAACAAACATATTTTATGTTGAAGTAGCCCTCATATTAAAAGTTTAAAAATTAATAACCATTACACAATGTAAATTTGTAACACGTTGTACCCTTTGGTAAGTTAACTCCAAATTTCATTTCATTATTTTAAACTTAATATTTGAACACTTAATTAATGTCGAGGATGGATCATTGCCCTTCGAATTGCCTAATGCTATAGTATTAAAATTAAACCTACTTATATTTAGTCCAAATCACAATCAGTATATTTCACTTTTAAACTAATTAAAAACAAATTTACAAGGGAAAAAAATTAGTTCAAAAACATCATAAAAAAAGGTCTGAAAATATTTTATTTTTGATACAAATCATTAAAGAGTTGTTTATAGGTTTTTCTAATAGTGGGATGCAGCTGAAACTGAGAGTAGTTATTTAGAAGATTGTAAGCTCTTCTGATAAGTCTTAGCCATAAAAATTTTCATCCAACCATAAATCTTTTGTTATCTCTAAATCTCATGTTTTATAGAACTACAATTTTATGAATGAATTATATCCGATGAATATTTTTGTGAATGAATTATATCCGATGAATATTTTTGTGAATGAATGACGTGTTATTTGTAAATTTTATGAATATCCGATTGTTATTTTGCAAATAATTTTATGAATATCCCACTGATATATAATAAATTTATGAATGTTTGTCATACGCATATTTGTGAATGAATACATATATAATTTCTTACTAAATGGATATTCGATCTGATAATCCAATTTAATAAAGTGGAGTTTTTTTTTCAAATGGTATACAACAATCATGATTATTGAAAAGCAATAAAAGTGACCAATATTATTAATGTTTTTTTTTTTCAATGGCAAGAAATGCGCACGCACCACTAACACACTCACCCTATCAACTTTGAAAGACAGATGAGGTACCACTAAGCCAAGCCTTGGTAACATTATTAATGCTATGAACAATTCAAAAAAAAAAAAAAAATTTATTGAAAGGTATAAATCACTAAAGTTTTTAATGGGTGGTGCTTAGTCATCATATCATTTGGATCATTCAGATTAAAGCGATACTTACCTAACTAAAATCCTATCAATTTTCATATAATATTTAACCATTTGGCTATTACATTTGGATTTTAATGATAAAATTTGGATTATTAAAAAGGGGTGGATTTTTTTAAAATCAAATAAAAATTAGATGGACTTCCTAGGGGGTCATCCATCCAAAGTTTTGGTAAGTTCCGACCATTACGGCTTTAAAACGCGTTGTGTCATATAAGGGTATTGAATTTACATATAGCACTTGCCCCATCCACACCCAGACAATGTGGGATTGTATGTTAAATTTAGGATGCGAAAATATAAGATATAAAATATGATTATGGAAGAGAGAAAGATAGAGAACACAACATATACATGGTTCGGTATTAAGGCCTATATCCATGGATCAATAGTCACCGAGGCTACATTTCTCTTATTGCTTGTAGTCCTTGATATGTTTACATTGTATTGATACAATATATAGGAAATAAAGTTGCAGATAAAAGGAATAAATCAAGGAGAAAAGAATAAAGAAGTAAATCAAGGAGGAAAGAAAAGAAAATGAATATAATATATATGTATAATATATATATATATATATATATATATATAGATCTAAAATATATATTTCAATATTCTCCCGTAAACTCAAGATTGGTTTCTCGAAGCCAACTTGAGTTAGGAGATGAAATCTTAAAACGGTGGTGTCGCGAAAAGCATTTGAAAGGCCGGAACAACGCAGGGGAAATGGGCCGGAACAAAGCCAAGAAATGGGTCAGAACAACACTGGGAGACATCCGGGTGATCCATCCGAGAAATGAAAAAGATCTGGAACAAAGCTAGTAAAAGGTCGGAACTAAGTCAGGGAATAATCGGAACAAAGCTGAGAAATGCTAGGGAAATGGCTAGAACAACGCTGGGGAATAGTTGGAATAAAGCTGATAAATGCTAGAACAGCATCGGGAAATAGTCGGTCACCGCTTCGGAGCGTTGACTATCGTCGGTGAAAGAAGAGCGCTTGGGCCCGTGCAACGTGCATGAGATCTACTCATAGGAGCATACGCCGCGTGGGCGCCAGTGCTGGATGTCGCTGGGTAGCGCATGGTTGATCGAAAAAGGAAAACAAAGAGAGATCTGACCAGAAATGTATCAGATTTTACTGGAAAAAAAAAAATGGTAGAGCTCCAAATGGAGCCACACAACATATATATGATAGTGTACTAAGGCCTACATCCATGGATCAAGAGCCACTGAGGTTACATTTCTCGTATTGCTTGTAATCCTTGATATGTTTACATTGTACTGATACAATATATAGGAAATAAAGTTGTAGACAAAAGAAATAAATCAAGAAGGAAAGAATCGAGAAGTAAATCAAGAAGGAAAGAAAGGAAACCGAATATAATATATATGATTATATATATTATACATATATATATATGGAAATAAGGGAACCAAAAAGAATAAATCAAGGAGAAAAGAAAGGAAAATGAATATAATATATAATATATGATATATTATACATATATATAATATACATTTCAATATTGTGCACTTGTAACTCCCTCAGTGTGGTAGCCTGCTGGTGCCATCTGCACACGCTCACATATACCTGCCCACAAGGTTGACACAAAATGAGACCGAGCCTTCTTTTAATTTTAAAAATATATGTGATCTCATAAGATAACCCTACTAAATATGTATAAAATTTTACCCATCTATACTATTATTAAAAGTACAAAGAGTTTCAGTACATTAGTACATTATTTTTATAATAAATAAATAATTTTTTTACCTTTCGTTTGTAATCCACCTTCCTTAAAAAAAATGACAAAAAAGGTTACCAATTACAAAAATAATCATATTCTACTCAAAATTCCTCAAGCTATATTTAAGAAGAAAAAAAAAAAAAAAAAAAGAGAAAAAAAAATGATACACCGATTTTAAGTGTTACTATAAAACTCTATCATATTTTTAGTAGTCTTCTTCTACACCTAAAATTCAGGAAAAAAAAAAGCCCCTTGTTAAACTGTCTTTGAAATCGTATCAAAATTGTTCCATAATTCATACATATAATAATCCTATTCTACTCAAAATTCCTCAAGTTATATTTAAAAAAAGAGTAAAAAAAAAAAAATGATACACATATTTTAAGAGTTTCTATAAAAACTCTAACATATTTTTAATAGTTTCCTTCTACTCCTAAAATTCAAAAAAAAAAAAAAAAAAAAAAAAAAAAAACCGTCTTTGAAATCGTATCAAAATTGTTCACATAATTCATACATAATATATTTCAAGGTATGATATGAAATATATAGCTTTGTCTATTAGTGATTCTTTTTGTGCTATTTTATGTCTAATATGTTTTATCGTTCACTTATTTTTCTGATTTGTTTTCCATAAAATTTAAAGATGAACCAGGTGATTAATCCAAATGAATGGTTTTGATTTGTTTTAGATTTGGGGCAATTAATTCATGTTGCTTTCAAGGTATGAAATATATAACTTTGTCTATTATTCTTTTTGTGCTATTTTATGTCAAATATGTTTTATTATTGATTAATATTTCTGATTTGTTTTTCATGAAATTTAAAAATAAACCAAATAATTAGGATAAAAAAGTAAGCAGATCTCATGTTGCATTCAAGATATGGAATATATAGTTTTGTTTATTAATTGTGTGCATATTCTATTGTTCTCATAATTCATACTAATACATAAAACAGACCTTGGGCTTTTCTTTAATGTCTTTGAACTTTTTTTTATAATTAATTCATACTAATACATAAAAGATGGGGTTGAATATCGAAACAGATGACGACTTTGCCTATAAATAGCCAAGGATACAGAGGAGAGGAGAAGCAAGAGTGTTGAGTGAATACAGTATAGAGCAAGTTTGTTAGGCCTGTTTGGGAAGTGTAATGGTTTGTTTTGTAATGTTCCCAGCCTGTTACAGTAGCCTATTTTTAGTCCAAAGCCTGTTTGGCCCACCATGTATTGTTTTCAACAGTACCAGAACACTCCATCATTTCGGGCCTAAAGTTGAAACACCATTTTGGTGTTCTCATTTGTTTCGAGTTTTTTTGGGCTACAAAAGTCACTATAGCGGAGGGAACAAAATGGCCCAACCTAGCACAGGTATACAAAGGAATGTTACAACAAAAAGCTAGGGTTTGTTCTGCGCTCTCGTAGGCGATTTTGGAGGCGATTCTCGTGCTTCAAATCGAAGACGCTTTCGTACACAGTAAACACCGTCGGGCTTCATATCGGCGTTCTGTCACTCCGGCGAGTTCTTTGCGAAGGGGACGAGCTCTTTCTTCATCGTGTCTCTCTCCACTTTCGGATTCTCTTATCTCTGTCCAAATTCTCCCCAAGCTCTCTCTCTCTCTATTTCCTCATCTCTCTCACGGTATGTCCAGAGTCTCCCCAAGTTTGAATGTATTTGACTGTTGAATGTTCCAGTTTCACGTTCTTTAGGTTTTGTTGAGTCCATTACTATGATCTACTGGAAGCATAAGCGTTATAGTTGGTTGTGTTCTAAAGCTTTCCCTTTTTAGTAAAGCAAGCCCAAAGATCAAAATGCATATATTCAATTTTATTTTTTTTTTCATAGAATTTTGATTTGGGCACAGCCAGTATAATCAATATAATTTTATTTTTAATTTTTTTTGAGAGAATTTTTAAGGGGTAAGTGCAAAAAACACCCTGTATTTTCAGTAAAGTGCAAATAACACCTTTACTGTTCAAAATTGACCCTCTAATTTAAAAAAGTTGCAAATAAGGGTTTCTGACCAACATTTTTGACATGCGCCGTGCATGTAAGCCAATGTTGATATGTAATACCAAAAATACCTTTTTGCACTATCCAAAATGTTCAAAGGGTGATATTTGCACACTTTTAAAAGTATAAGGGTTTTTTGTAAATAATGAACATAATTTTTAAATTTTGTTATTCTCTCCTCTCTTAGGCTCTCTCTCTCAATAATTAATTTTTAAATATTAAATTACTTTGTATAAATTATCGCATTTGTAATTACATTTTTTTTTTTTTTTTGACACATTACATTTTATTAAGTTACTTGGCATTTTCATTTAAATTTGTGTCCCAATGATTACCAAAAGAAAAAACTGAAAGGATTGGGCATAAATAATATCTATCCATTTGTTATAATATTTTAATATTTTTTGTGTTACTTTTTGGTTGCTTTTCTCAGTATCTTTAGCTATAGCCGTGGATGACACACCTTTGTGATTTAATTTTTGAATTAAATTAATTTAATATAAGTAGATAACCCAGACCTCAAACACGTTTTTTTACGAGAAATTATTGGTAGGAGGTTACACTTGGCTGACATGGCATCACAAGCCAGAAGAAGAGACGCTCGCTTCACCTGAAGCTGTGGAATCATTCATGGCGGATAAGTTATCTACGTCAATTGGCATGGTGATGAAATTTGTTCTAGGGTTTTTTTTTGGGTGGCCAAAAAGAACGAAGTCTAGGGCATTTGTTTTCTCAAAGAATTCGAAGAGACTATTGAGATTAAATTTCTACTTTCTAGGATTCCAATAAAGTTTTCTCTAACATCCAGTCAAACTTGCTTTTCTCTTCACACCTTCCAGTTTCTTACCAAAGCCCAGATTAACAAACAATCTAATTAACAAAACCCACGACTTAAAATCAGCTCTGAGCTCGAATAATGATGAAGACCCAGAACAAATCACCTGTAATACAGGTAAATTGATTGCCGGCGAACACAGTAAAATCCAATATCGAAGTTAATGGAATCCTTTTCACTCTATAGAAACATAACCAAACAAATAAATTAGAGATTTTGCCCAAATATGTGAATTTTCGGACATTCAATTGTACTTGATAACAACTATCCAAAAACAATTTCAAACGTTTCAACGAAAATGATTGAAGTAACGAATCGATTCAAACGCCGAAGATCACAATAGGAACAGCTCTCTATGTCGACGGCTAAAAATAAATAAAAAATTACTAGAGCGACAAAAATAGAGTTTTGCAAAGTCGTCTCTATTAGAACCAGCGCCGGCGACGACATGGGTATCGATAAAGGATCTGAAAATTACAAGGATGGGTCTCGTCTCTGTCTTCGGCAACGACCTTGATGCTGCGACTAGGTCAGACAGTTCAAGGCGACGGCTTTTTTGGTAGTTATGGCAGCAACGGTGGGTTTGGTGGGTGTGGAGGGAAAAAATCCCCTCCAATAAGAATATTCCACGTTATCACATATGTAAATCTATCTGCCAAAGGCCCGTCATGCTCAAGCCCAAATTGAGTGTATTTTTAGCCCAAGACCACTGTTATTTGTCTTCCAACCTCCATCAAGGCCGAATCAAGAGGTTATCAGTCTCACTTTTTAATATTTAACATTCGGCCCGTTATTCAAGCCCAGCCGGATCAAAGTGTGTTCAGCCCAGTTATTCAAGAATGCACAAGTCCTACCAGTTGAAGGATTTACCATAGAAGGAAAATTCTGAGATAGGAAGTTCTGTACAAGGCAAGTTCTATGCATGGAAAATTAGACAATGGAAAGAACTCTATTAGTAAAGAATGTTTATATAGAAAGAATTGGAGGACAAGCAACGCGAGTCTTACCATAATTCTACAATCTTTTGTATATAAATAGAGGCTTAGACCTCCAATAAAGAGATCAAGCAATTCTACGCTTCTCTATATACTGTTCTTGTTTATTTTTACTGTTTGTTGAGTGAGTTGTTTTATTTCTCTTAATCATTATTGGTTGGGTGAAATTTTGCACCTACACTTTGGCGCCGTCTGTGGGAATCGTATAGAAATATATCCCCACCAAAGTTACGACACTTCAAATTAAAATCTCCAAATCCAGCAACGTGACTTGAAATTAAAATCTTCAAGTCCAGGATTTGAACCCAAGTCCTCTCCAACAACGACTCTCATGGCCAAAAGTCACGTTGATGAATACGCTTTCGGACAATAATGCGTACCAAAGCTGATGAATGGAAAACCCAAGAGGCATCACATGTGTTTGCCCTGTAATTAGATGTCCATCGGAGTCCACAAAGCCTTAAGTTAATCAGATAAGTGTTTTGATTTTGATTTCCTGTTAATTTTGATTATATACATATAATCTTGAGCAACAAATCCATGCATAATTATTGTTCATACTAATCTGAACTCAAGATTATTAAGTCGAGTTGATCTTCAGAACTCGAGTCTGTAACTTGACCATCAGGTTAATAGAAAAAATAATTTTGAAAAAAAAAAAAAAAATAAGTTCATGTTTTTGAAGAAACTTGAATTAGCTGGAACACTTTTTCCGGCAATTTCTTGCTGCTTTTGGCCCCAATTCCTGGGAATCCCAACTTATAAAACTCTGCAAAGAATTAGAAAATCGATTAGGGTTGGGAAGAATTGATATAACTGAAATTCTTGGCGATTTGCCTAAAATTCAGAAGCTTACTTTCTATGCATTTTTTGTGAAGTTTGTGGCAGCAATGTTTGATTATTTGACAGCACTAGACTGCGTGACATGACATTGGATCAACTTCGAATTATGCTAATGATAAGTTTAACATTACAAGAGAATTGATGTGTTTCCGAGCATCATCAAGAGCAGAAACAATGTGGGTGGACTGAAGAGCCGATTAATTGGCAATCATGAGGAGATCATACACTCGGCAATGGACCCCAAATCCAAAGTCGGAGACATGCTCGATCTCTGAGATGGAGTCGCTGGCGGTCCGGATCTCACGTCAGGTGTGTCATCGTTCTCATAATCGGACGTGCTGGAACGGGTGGAGGCAAGGGTGGATCGGGCAGAGACCGATTCGGGATCCAAATGAACTCGATTCATGGATAAGATCTGATAAAACTCCTTCTGAAGTCATTTCATAACGATTTGTATAAGGTTTTAGGCTCGCACAAGCATGTCGAAGGTTGAGATCGGCCAATTTTCATAACAACCCCCAGTTGTACAAGCCGCCATTGCCACAGCGGCCTAGACCGTCACCACCAGCCAAGTCCGCCGAATGCACCGACGAGAAGTCACAGCCGCTTCCTCATGACCGGACCGGAGTTCATCCCAGCCGAACCACCCGTCTTCCACAAGCTCGCCGGCTATCCTCATCAGCGCCGGCTGCATCCTCACCAAGCTCGCAGATCTGTCTTGCCGGTGGTTTTCACCTCACCAGCCGTCCATCTCTATCGCGAGCTTGCCGACCAACTTCATCCTCGTCAAGCCGTCGCCCACAGGCCGAACAGCCCGCCGTCCATCACAACTTCTCCTTGCTCGCCTCCTTTGTTAATTACAAACTTGTATCAGTTTATATATATTTATATATATATATATATATATATATATATATATATATATATATATAGCCTAATGGTCACTGTTTGGGTGCAAATGTAAAGCTATTCTAGTTTTGGATTAGTCCAGAACTAAACCCGCTTGGTAACCTCATTTGAGAACTGGTTCTGTGGTAACCCAGTTCGGGAAAAAAAAAAAAAAAAAAATTATATTGCCGATTTGAATTGGGGACTCATTTTGGAGCATTCAAAGCTTTGTCTTCCGAGGTAGCTTGGTCTTCCAAGAACCGAAGAAATCAGGCTCTTAGGTCGGCAAAGTTCTTCCCAGCATTCCATTTTTCAAGGCTAACGGTGAAATAAAGGCTTTCAAAGATCGGTTGCCGCTCAATGCCACAAAATTCAGCAGACTCATCAGCCGGGCATTTCAAACATCTCAGGCCTTATCAGACGCGAATCTCTCTAATCAGATAAGTTTCCTAACTTTAATTTTACAGTTAAGATTAAGCTTTTCGTGCTAAAAATCTTTATTAAAAATTAAATACATATTAAATATATATATATATATATATATATATATATATATATATATATATATTTACGCATGCTCATTATACATAAAGATTTATGACTCGGCTCAAATTGCATATTCAGTATACTCTATTGAGTAAAATATAAAAAAGAGACCACCTGAATTTCTGTCTCTGTCAACACTCAACAAATTCTTTAATCTCTTTTTCTTTGATTATAATCCTCTACGGATTCATCCATCTCTCCCTCATCGAGGATTTTTAGCATTGCAATTTTATTTTTATCCACTAGTTGTTTTGCTCACGATTCACTTTGATCAAAATTTTAGATTATATCCATTCGTTGTTCACTGAAGGTTGATAATTGGTCAAAACCTTAGGACCACAATACTTAATATTGTTGGTTCAGACTCTTCAGAGAGATGCACTACTTCATCACTACTCAACTAAAAGAAGATTTTGATCCTCTACATTGACTTCTGAAATTTATACTTGAATGAAGATCAGAGGCCAAAGGCATTGTTGAATGCACGAGTTATACTATTTTGTCTGTTGCTCGAAATCCTAAAATATTACATACATTGAATAATTTCAATGTACTTGATAAACAAAAACGAGTAAATACTTATTGCTAATTAGAATTTCTGATACGTAAGAAGTTCTTAAAATTCTTTCTTTCCTTTATCAGTTGCTATATGCTACGTGTAATCATTTTACATGCTTCTGGTAACTTTATTTATGAATAACTTTGTATTTACTCCGTATTCGTATGCTAATTAATATTTGAGTTGATTTCTTTTCTGTGCATTGCAAGACAGATTGATCCCCAAGTGTAGTGGCGAATAGACCAACTATGCAGCTATGCTATATATGGCCTCAAAACGCCAAAAAAAAAAAAAAAAAAAAAAAAAAACCCTCGAACCTCAAGAGTTCGACGGCATCAAAAACTCTCAAGGCACAAAGCCGAGGGACAACAAAGTCTCGGACCTCAGGAGTCCGTAGGCACCAAAAAGCAAAATTTCCTCTAAGGCACACAGAACTGCCGAGGAATAAAATTTATCTTCGGACCTCAAGAGTCCGCAGATTTCAAAATTCCTTTAAGGAATAAAATTCATCTTCGGACCTCAAGAGTCCGCAGATTTCAAACTTCCTCTAAGGCACACAGAGCTGCCGAGGAATAAAATTCATCTTTGTACCTCAAGAGTCTACAGATTTCAAACTTCCTCTAAGGCACACAGAACTGCCGAGGAATAAAATTTATCTTCGGACCTCAAGAATCCGCAGATTTCAAAATTCCTCTAAGGAATAAAATTCATCTTCGGACCTCAAGAGTCCGCAGATTTCAAACTTCCTCTAAGGCCTACAGAACTGCCGAGGAATAAAATTTATCTTCGGACCTCAAGAGTCCGCAGATTTCAAAATTCTTCTAAGGAATAAAATTCATCTTCGGACCTCTAGAGTCCGTAGATTTCAAACTTCCTCTAAGGCACACAGAGCTGCCGAGGAATAAAATTTATCTTCGGACCTCAAGAGTCCGTAGATTTCAAACTTCCTCTAAGCACACACAGCTGCCGAGGAATAAAATTCATCTTCAAGAGTCCAAGGATTTCAAAATTCCTCTAACGCATAATGAGCTGCAACGAGGAATAAAATTTCATGAAAGTTACCTCAAATACGTCTAAAGTTAATTTTTCATGAAAAAATTCTCTAAGGTACAAAACAGTGCCGATTAAAAATTACATGAAAATTACCTCGAACTCAAATACGTCGAAGGTTAAATTTTCATTTAAACTCCTCCAAAGCACAAAGAGTGCCGATGCGTATAGTTACATGAAAATTATCTACATCGCAGCCATCAAACAAGACATATTTTTCTTTCCTTCATAGGGGCAATACCTTCCATAATGGGGGCAATATAAGCAGCCCTAAAGGGATATTAAAAAAAGAAAACATATTCTCTCTTTTTTAAGCCCAGATTATTTGGCCTAAATACAGTTCCTCTCAGGTTCAGAGCCGAGGAACTTACTACCTCGGACCTCAAGAGTCCGATACATTACAGTTCCTCTCAGGCCAATAGCCAAGAAACTTAGTACCTCGGACCTCAAGAGTCCGATACATTACAGTTCCTCTCAGCTCATAGCCGAGGAACTTATTACCTCGGATCTCGAGAGTCCGATAAATTATAGTTCCTCTCAGCTCATAGCCGAGGAACTTATTACCTAGGACCTCGAGAATCCGATACATTACAGTTTCTCTCAGCTCATAGCCGAGGAACTTATTACCTCGGACCTCCAGAGTCTAGTACATTATAGTTCTTCCCAGGCTCATGGCCGAGGAACTTAGTACCTCAGACCTCGAGAGTCCAGTACATTACAGTTTCTCTCAGGCTTATGGCTGAGGAACTACATGCCTCGGACCTCCAGAGTCCGGTACATTACAGTTCCTCTCAGACTCATGGCCGAGGAACTACACGCTTCGGACCTCAAGCATCCGGTACAAAACTGTTCTTCTTAGGCTCATGGCCGAGAAATAAACATTCGCCTTCAGACCTCAGGAGTCCGAGTACCTCAAAGTTTCTTTAAGGCACAAAAGTGCCGCAAAACAAAATGACATGAAAATTACCTCGAACTCAAAGAAATCGACGGTTAAAGTTTTCATATCAAATCCTCTGAAGCACAGAGTAGTGTCGAGGGTATAAATTACCTCGGAATGCTAATCAGGAAAGTTGAAGCTAATTGTTCAAGAAAAACACTATGTTGATCTCCAGGATGATCATTAAAAATGATCACCATCATTATTCATTAAGGCTAGTCACCCAAGCTAATCGCCAAGAGTGATCGTCGTCAATCTGAAAAAATAAAAGCGCCAATAGCTTGAACAGAAGAAGGCTCAACATAAGACGCCACCTCTGAGCATGGGGGAACCTCAACTACAACCTCCTCAGAAGCCTTGATTTTGGATCTTCGTATTTTCCAAGAAGACAAATATAAGTCACTGCCTTCAAGGCATACTGTCTCAATTTTTCAATTTCCTCTAGTTATGACTGCCACGTCAAACTAAAGGGAATTGGGGGCAAAGTGTGGAGGGAAAAAATCCCCTCCAATAAGAATATTCCACGTTATCACAGATGTAAATCTATCTGTCAAAGGCCCGTCATGCTCAAGCCCAAATTGAGTGTATTTTTAGCCCAAGACCACTGTTATCTGTCTTCCAACCTCCATCAAGGCCGAATCAAAAGGTCATCAGTCCAACTTTTTAATATTTAACTTCCGGCCCGTTATTCAAGCCCAGCCGGATCAAAGTATGTTCAGCCCAGTTATTCAAGAATGCACAAGTCCTACCAGTTGAAGGATTTACCATAGAAGGAAAATTCTGAGATAAGAAGTTCTGTACAAGGCAAGTTCTATGCATGGAAAATTAGACAATGGAAAGAACTCTATTAGTAAAGAATGTTTATATAGAAAGAATTGGAGGACAAGCAACGCGAGTCCTACCATAATTCTACAATCTTTTGTATATAAATAGAGGCTTAGACCTCCAATAAAGAGATCAATCAATTCTACGCTTCTCTATATACTGTTCTTGTTTATTTTTATTATTTGTTGAGTGAGTTGTTTTATTTCTCTTAATCATTATTGGTTGGGTGAAATTTTGCACCTACAGTGGGAGAGGCCGTGGCTTTTTTTGGTGGTTATGGCAACAACGGTGGGTAAGGGATTTAAGGGCAGATTGGTGGTGGTGGTGGAGGATTGGTGGTGGGTTTGTTAGGGTTAGACCTGCCATGGTGGTTGTTCATTGCACAGAGATCGGAGGAGGAAAGAGAAGGTTGGGTTGTATAATCCTAACCCTATTTAGGGTATTTACTATATCATTAGCCCAAACAAAGTAGCGTGTGTTGTCTTTTATTACTCAAAACGACGTAGTTTTGGTTAATGTTTATTTGGGTAATTTTAATTTTTTCAATTTTATTATTATTATTATTGAATAAAGAATATTGGGGGGTGTTTTCGTATTTTTACCTACTCTTCTGACAAAAAGTCTTTATTTGCAACTTTTTAAAACTAGGGGAGTGACGTTTGAACAACAGGAGTGTTATTTGCACATTTTAAAAAATACAGGCTGTTTTTTGTACTTGACCCGAATTTTTAATCAATATATGCATGTTTGAAATCGATATTTGCAATCAATTCAATAAAAAAGAGGGAACGAGAAGAAATTTTATGTGTGATATTGAAATAAAATCTCACCAGAAAATTCACCAATTGTCAGGATGAGACATAATTGCTAAGTTTGAGGTGGAAGCTATAGTTTTATTTTTTTCAGTGCTTTGTCAATAGTTTACTAATTCTCTTCGACAATCTCGTGGGATATCTGATTTTACCACTTATTGCTTCTTTCACTATATTGATTTCCTTCTATTTTAGTTATCATTGCTGTTGTGTTGGTAAATGTTGTCATTTCTTACATAATTTTGGCTATTTGTCTACAATCTACTGCTTTGTTGGACCTTCAATTATAGTTGTCTTTGATATTTGTTTATTAGGTTTTAATTTATATCGCAAATGACTAGAAATAAACTGCTGTTTCCACTCACATGAATAAGAGCGTAAGTGGCTTTGCATCTGATGGAGTTTGATTTCAGATATCATTTGGTTTTTGTGTTATTAAGAAAAGTATACTGCATTTAATATTGGAAACTGTTAATGTAGTTTTTAAACTTGAAAGCTTGACTTTGTTTCACAGTAACTTTCAACTAGCATAATTTGTTGTCATTGTTAAGCGTGTAAGGGGAAATCTAGTATTTGGTTCTTTTAATATCTGCGTCCGTAAAAAAGGGTAGGGTTGAGCGGTGCTCATTTTCAGTTTTTCTAGTGGGTTGGGCTTTTTTTCAGCAGTAGCACTTCTTCACTTGTGTATTGCTAGAATGATCAAACATGAGTTTGTGAATTTGATTAATGTATTTGAATTCTTTGCAATTCCTAGTTTAACCTGCTCTTGATATGTCCCTCAACTGCTTTTTTTAGTCTTTTCTTTTTGTCTTTGTAAGTTCACTAATGCAAGTGTGCTATTCTATATATTTGTTGCTATTTGGGGTGGAATGCGCTTGTTTGGAGTGGATTGCACTTGTGCTTTTATATTTAAGTCTTCCAACGCTGACGATGTTGCTGGACTTGGAAGAGAGGGGACAACTTTGAAATTTTTTCAGTTTGCCTCTTGTAATAAATGGTTAATTCAGGATCTATGTATAGAGAGATGGGACAACTTTGTGTACAATTTTAATATTGGTTGGATTGTTAATTATAGACAATTTGTATTCAAGTATGAAGTGAATTTGAATTGGTAGATGGTTGATTATACACATGATCAGTATTATAAATGTTTCAATTTTAACTGTATGAAATGAATTATTGATTATATGCAAGTTTTATAGAGCTCAAATAGAATGATTTTTAATGGAATGGTATAGAATGATTTTTAATGGAATATATGCAAGTTTTATAGAACTCAAATAGAATGATTTTTAATGGAATCATATTCATCATTATTCACAGGTTTTATATAGGAATAATATTAATTTAAATGGAATTACATGTTTTCATATTGTCAATGATTGTTATACACAATTTATATTGTGACTAATTTTTTGCTACAGTTTGACTCTACCAAATGTGTTTTGTTTTTATATTTTTTGAAACGAAATACCTTGCCAAACATGTTCTACCTTGTTTCTGTTCCAAAATTCTCATTGCAAATTTTCGTCGCCAAACATGTTTTGTTTTCATTTCAGAACACCACATTATAAAATACTTGTTCTATTCTAAGCTAAAACAAAACACTACAAAATACAACGCATACCAAATGGGCCCTTATTTTCTTGTATAAGTTCTTATACATTTCATTATATCATTCAATGAAAAATAATTTTATTTCCATGCGTTCAATATGTTAGCTTAAACACCTCTTTCAATGGCGTGGTGAAGACACCATGACTGAAATGTAAATAAATATCTCTTATTTTTTGTGTAATTATTTCTCTCGAAAGTTTTATTTTTCTAGAGACATAAAGGAATGATTCTTCATATTTGCCAAATAATGGTAATTTGGAAAATGATTCCCACTATTTATTTTTTTAACAAGAGACGGTCATATAGAGATTTTACAAGAACATTTCTCATAAATAACCAAGTTCTTTAATGTGAAATTTTCCTTTATCTTTTCAAGTTGTAATTGGACTAGAATGTTTTATTTATTGAAAGAAAATTTGTATAAGAAAAATAGACTATTTATTTATACGGATCCGTGGTGGTGGAGTCTTTTTCCTTTGAGATTTTTTCCATTACTTGATTAAATCTATTTAGTAGTAATTTTATTTGTTTTATTAGTGACAAAAATCAAAATTTTGTTTTAAAATATTTATTTTCCATCCCAGAATTTAATGTTTTGAATTTGAGTGTCCATATATCAGTTGAGCAGCCCATTAGTTTATTTAAATCCAGCCCATCATAGAACTAGTAAACTAGAACTTAGTTTACTCTTAGCCCAACCCAACATTTTAAATTTTCATTTATCCCCTAACCAAATGAACTTAAGCCCTCAATTTGAAATTCCCAATGGATCCAATTCCTTAAAATATGCAACTAAAGGTCCAGATAGCTAAATTGTAGCCCAACAAGCTTTCATAGTTGCTTGGCAAGCTTGGTCCAAACATGAGCTCCCAAATCAATGATTTTTGTGTCCATCAAATCAAATCAAATACTTATATATATATATATATAAATTAAATTCATTACATTTTGAATTATCAAATAAAATTTGACCATTAATACTTAGAGTATGCATCCATTTTCTTACCTACACAAAATTTTCTTACACAAAAAGAAGTGAATATATATATGGGCATGAGTGCCACTCTCATATAGTGCCACTCTCATTATCTTTTGTCAAGTTGCCTGCCTATGGGCCCCACAACGTAAATAATTACAATTGCTTTGCGGCCTGTGCAACCTTTCAAGTGCCTTCAACCAATTGGGCTCCCTTATAAGGGCCCACAAGCACATTAAGCTTGACCATTAGCAAAATTCCAATTAAGAAAGTGTGGCATGTTCTTTAAGAATGGTGTTCCATCACTTCCTTTTATATTTTTGGTTTTGGATAAATAAATAATTTTTTTTTTTTTTTTTTTTTTTTTTTTTTTTTTTTTTAACCTTTTCTCGATTTATGCTTGTCATTCTTGTGCCATGCGATTATTATAATTTAATCGTTTCAACATTACTCAATAAGTTTCACCAGAATAAGAAGCTCAAATTTACCACTGAAGCACATTAGTGTACAAATAAAAAAGTTGAAGACTGTAATTCAGTGGCCATTTTGAATGTACCATAGTAATGCGACGGATTCAGAAAATTTTGTGAGAGGCGACTTTTTTATTTATGGGAGAAAACTTATATGGTGGATCTATTTGTAATTTTAATGAGGTTTTTTTCATAAATTTTAAAAAATTTAAAGTATAAAATGCAAGAAAAAATAATTAGTGGGAGCAAATTGTAATTTTAGAGGGGACATCTTCATAAATTCTTAAATATTTGAAGTATAAAATGGAAAAAAAAAAAAAATTTAAGTGGGACGAATTGTAATTTTAGTGAGAAAATATTCAAAAATTTTTTAAAAAATAAAAATATAAAAAAATCCAGCGGAATAGTGTGTAAAATGCATGTGTTCAATTGTAAGCTGCATATATCCAGCGGATTTGTTGTTTTCTTCGACTAGATCTCTGGTTTAGGTCGGTTTTGGTTTTCCCCGCCTCGATTTAATCTTTTTTTTTTTTTTCTCGATTTGATCTTGTGCGGGGTATTTTTGGATGTTGGAGCGCCTTGTGGTTGTAATTTTGGAGCAGTTGCCGTGACGATGGTCAGACCTTTCGGTCTCTCCTATTTGCTGCGTTCTCCCATGGTGGATCTGTTTGCAAAGTGTTGGGCTCTATTTCCTCTACAAATTTGGAACTTGTTTTTCATTTATTTACTTTACTTCTAAATTTGTATGCCTTTACTGACTTAGCTTTATGCATTTGTACTGCTGTCTTGGCTTTAGACCTTTATGTCTTTGAATGACAAAAAAAAAAAAAAAAAAAAAAAAACCAAAAAGAAAATTATGTATTAATGCTATGTGTATCATATCTTGCATGTTAACTGTTAGGGATGTCAATTTTTACCGCCCCGCCGGGGTCCCGTCCCGTTCCGCCCCGTTAATAACGGATATAGGAACACTTATTATACCGTTGGGGCGGACATGGATACAAATTTTGTACCCGTCGAGGGTTACGGGGCGGGTAAGGGTTCAATATACATATCCTAAGGGCCCCGCCCCGCCCCGCCCCGCATATAACTATATATATATATATATATATATATATATATATATATATTAATAAGTTATTTTAGCGGCTTACCCAACCCATCTCTTACAATCCTAATTTGGGATGTAAACTTGGTATTAAATTTGCTTTTGTTTTGGTTATGGTGGAAGTTGGAGCTTAGAACTTCTTGTGATTTGGTTGTATTAAATTTTTATTTTTGTTTATTATATTCTTTGAATTATGTTATGTGCATGTTATTTTTTTTATTTTTGTTAGAATACATAATTTTATTTATGTTGTGTCATTCCTAAGCTTTGCACATTTAAATAGCAGGAGTTTAAGTTCCAAAAAGTGGGAGAAAAAAATTTGTTAGTGGGGCGGGCACGGGGGCACAGTATTTCCTAACGGGGCGGGGTTGGATATGAAAATTCAACCCGTCGCGGGTCTCGGGGCGGGCATGGACTTGACAAAAATTAAAAGGGGCGGGGCGGGATTTAGGGAAACCCGCTCCAAACCCGCCCCGTTGCCATCCCTATTAACTGTTAAGTCAATTTTATGATTCCAGAGTAATTAATCAAAAACATGAGGGTCAAAATGGTAAGACGAGTAACAGTTGGGTAAATAAGTTTCATTATGATCGTAACGGATTTTAGTCCAAGATTTTAAACGTGTATTTTCTATGGGGGTCATAATTGAAGGTTGTTTCAGGTCCCCTAGTGAGCAAATACTATGCATGTGAATGGCTCAATGCATTGAATCTGACCATAAAACTTTAGAAAGACTCTCTCTCTCTCTATATATATGCGTGTATATATCTATATAGAGATATAGTAGATCTGATGGGAAGTTTCCTCGGCCAAGTTGCATAATGATTTGAATTATGATTTTTGGAATTTAAATTTTGTTGGATTCTTTGTCAGCTTCTAGACCCCCTGTTTTTTACCCTATTGAATCACATGATTAAAATGTGTGCATAATTAGGAATTCCTTATGAACTGCTTTGGTAAAGTTTCTAAATAGCTTCCACGATTTTAATTGGATGCACATATACCTATCTATATATATATATATCTCATGGGGATCGAATGAGTCTTCGGTCCTTGTTTTTTCTTGTTCACATCTTGGCTTTTTTTCTTTGAGATCCGTTTAGCTGAACCTACAACGTTATTGTCAATATGACTCATACACACTTGCAATATATATATATAATATATATATATATATATATAAATGAAATTTTTTCAAAGTCGTAGGAAGAAACTATCTCCAGATCAATTATAGACACTGTTAAATATGATTTATGTATCAAAAATATAGTTACAAAAAATCACAATAATCAAATCTAAGGGTCACCATACATCAATGTAAAGAAAGTTTCTTGCTCTTGCTGTACAAAGTATCATATATATATATATATATATATATATATATATATATATAAGTTCAAGCACGGTACACTCATTCACCATACTCGAACCTTCTTTAAAAAGAAAAATTATATCGTATAAACTAATGTCAAATATTGATCACTTGAAATATGATTCTCTTTATCTGTAGTGAAGCAATCAACAGACAAACTTTGATTAAAGTAAATATATTTTATAAAAAAGATATCATTCTAATTAAGATGATGAATACTCCTTTCACATCATGAATCATGAGTAGTGTAATTAAAGCAAATTAGTCCAGCAGCCATGTATGTGTTTGGTATGTGTATATATCGGTGGCTGGTTGACTTGAAATACCGTATTGGTTCATGTACTTTCAGTCTATTAATTGCTATAACCTTTTTCATTCTTGTTAATATATAATTTATTTGAATTTTTTTTATTTATTAAAGTTTTGTTTTTAATTTCTTTATTCATTACAAAGAAATCAAGAGTTGTCTAAGTTATCAAGTTATGAGTGTCATATTTGACTCCAATTGTATGCGTTTCACACATTGTATTGGATTCATCAAAATGGATTATGATATTGTGCATGCACATCATTAAAAATATATATATTTTAACCACGCCAAGGTAGTCAAGTGCAATTATGGCACCATACAATTAACTTTTGTATTTGGCAAAATTTTAAGGTCTGTTTGATTCAATTTTTAAAAATATATTTAGTTATTTTGAAAGTTGTTTTCAAAAAACTGAGCCAGACAGACTCAATTTTTTCTTGTAATTCTAATTTTCAAATTTGAATTGAAAATTATGACACTTGTTATTAACTTACTAACTTTAAGTAAGTTTTTTAAAAAAATTCACGCGAGACTTGCTTTTTCAAAGCAACTTATTTTCTTAAATTACAACATATATAATCGATGCATGTGTTAGTGCGCTCTTGATTAGATGAATTTTAATTGAAATATAAACACATGCATATATATTGATCCCCTGTATCCACTTGCCTGTTTAAAAAGAAGGGGAACACAAATTAATGGGTTGGACAAATTGTGCACAACCTATGGCACACTTCATGCACGCAAAAAAGTTGGAGCACAAAACAAGCTCATGTTTGGTGATTGTTTGTCCTTCTGATTAATTAAATTTAATTCACTGTGTCCACGTTGAATTATATATATATATAATTCAACGTGTATATATATATATATATTCTTAAAAAATATAATTCAAAGTTATATATACATATACATATATATATATGAAGACACCAAAAATGACTTGGGCTTGGTAGGACTCGTATTGTTAAGAACGGGCCAAGTATGGATGCCCAGGATGGAGCAAGTCCACGCTGAATGGGCCCAGATCCAAGAAGTCATTGCAGAAGCCCATGTTAAGATGAAAGAAGTCGAGTCCAGACAAAAGAGAACAAGGCCCAGCTCAGAGGTGGCTATAACCGTCTATAAATAAGGGGGATTGAGAGGGAAAAGTAGTTGGAGATTATTGGGAGTGTAAAATTTCTCTCTACAATTGGGGAAAAATTCTTTTTACTTTCAATTGACGCCGTCCGTGGGAAGAACAGGGAGGATTGATTGATGTTGATCCAGACCGATTCTATTTGAAACACTCTGTGAGGAAGACGATTAATCTTTGAAAGCTGAATCAACATTGGTGACAATGCGATCTGTCTTGATGAATCTTGGCTCCGGATGATTTCGATAGGTTGGCGTCCGATCCACGCAGATCTGATCTGTGCTTGATCCGGCGAGCTACACAGTTGTGATTTGTTGAGATTACTGATTCCGGCCAATAGCGAACAGAATTCAGCAAGTGTGAGTTCAGATCTGGTGCGTATGCGTTAGCGAAGCTCCGATCTGATCAAGTGATGACTTTGCTCCGATTTGGAAAGATGATCGGAGAGGAGAGCTCAAATCCTTTGGAGAATGGCCAGCAGACGAAGCTCGATGAGCTGATGAACATGATCGACGCCTTGAGGAAAGAAAATGCGGAGTTACGTGCTAGAATGGAGCGTCGTGAGGCTCCTACAATTCCAAGGCCACCTCTTGAAGGAGAGGGAGTCTTACCGTCCCATGTTGATCGTCAAGGTGATCTAGAAGGTGTTAATTGTGTTAATCCACGTCGTGATGAAGTTATAATAGGCGATCTGCCTCCTAATGTTCGTCAAGTAGAGGATCAGAACGATCTATTCATTTGGAGCCACATTGCGAACGGATCATGAGAGAGGAAGCGCCGGCGTGTGATCATAGGTTTGCATCACCATGGTGAAGTGAGTTTGCAGAGGACAGATCGTTCGATCCACCTTATCGACCTTCAATGGCAACATTTGACTACCGCAGTTCAGAAAGGAGATCTGCCGATCGGGTAGTTCCGTCATGGTTTTCAAGGGAGAACGAAGCATTGCGCTCATCAGCAAGGATGGTTGCATCTCCGTTCACTGATGAAATTCTGAACGCGCCGAATCCAAAGAAGTTCTTCATGCCGATCTTCATTCTATTTGATAGAACAACCGACTTGGTTGACCACATCTACCACATTCAGTTGAAAATGGCTCTGAATACTAACAATGATCCTTTGATGTGCAAATGCTTCCCTACGAGCTTGGCTGGACCAACCCTCAATTGGTTCAAGAATCTGGCTCAGGGCTCAATCGTTAGTTTCTAGGACTTGTGTAATAAGTTCATAAGCCGGTAATATAGGAATAAACGTCCGGCTAAGGATGTATCAAGCCTTTTCACAATGAGGCAGCACAAAGATGAACGGCTCCAAGCTTTCCTCACCCGGTTCAGCCTGGTTAAAAGCATGGTAATGGAATGTCATCCATCCATAGTAGTCCAAGCATTTAAACTCGCAATGAACCGGGGGACATCGTTCCACACAAGCTTGGTGGTCAATACGCCGAAGACCATGGACGAGCTGAACGAGAGAGCTAACGGTTTTGTTCATCTTAAGGAAGAGTAGGCAGTTAATTCAAGGAAGATGACAATTATTTTGACAGAAGAGAAGTCCAAAGCCAAGATTCGGCAAAAACAAGCTCAACCGCAACGTCATACCTCATGGAAGGTAGAGAAAAGGCCCAAAGAAAAGGAATCGGTTACTCCACTCAGAGTCACCTTGGCCAGGCTATACTAAGAAAACAAAGATAAGTTTCGCCCTCCTTTACCAAACAGACAACCTCTTGAACAGAGGGATCAAACTAAACATTGTGCTTTCTATTTGGACATCAGACTAACGAATGCAGGAACCTAAGGAGGCAAGTAGAGATGCTAATCGCAAAGGGGGAATTTGCAGGCTACGTTCAAGGTCCGGCACAAGAGTAGAACCGACTGGCTGAACAGATCAAGCGAAACCAGAGGCCGAATCACCACAACACTCAGCCTGTTCGGATTATAAATGCAATTCATGGCCGACCTGAACAAACGACAGAGTAAGAGGAGTTGCTCAGAATGCGGTTACGCCAGGCCCAGTTGAAAAGAAGGATTGGTAGTGTACATGCTTTGCACCAGCAGAACGCATCCGCGCCGATAAAGTTTGACAGAACAGACCTACTGCGCATTCAGATTTCTCATGAAGATCCACTAGTCGTCAGTCTAACAGTTGTAGAATGCCTGGTTCGAAGAGTTCTGATTGATCCAGGAAGTAGTACGAATGTCATGCCCAGAGTGACGTTCGACCGACTTGAGATCGAACCCGAGAAACATAAACTCACAGGAAATCCATTGCTCGGATTTGATGGGAAGTGGGTGGAGCCCATTGGCATGGTGGATTTGACAGTACAAGTTGCTGAACGAGTTTTAACTGAGAGTTTTGTGGTCGTGGAAATTCATCCATCGTACAACCTCTTGATGGGAAGAGGGTGGATTCACAGAGCTCAGGGTGTCCCATCAACCCTACATCAAGTGACGCGATGCTTGGGTCCAAATGGGACCAAGGTGATTGACATTCATAGGGACCAGGTTGCAGCTAAAGAATGTTATTTAGTGACTTTAAAATCTGCTGGAAAAGGAAAACATCCCATCCGTTCTGCCAATCCAAGATAGCAATTACAGGAGCCTCCACCCAGCAAAGGTGGGGAGGAGGAGCCACCAGTTCTGACCATAGAACCTCTTCATGAAGTGAAGATCGACCATAAAAAACCGGACCAAACAACAAGAGTGGGATCCAGACTTACTAAAGAGGAAAAACTAGAGTTGACTGATTTCTTGACTCGGAACGCAGATGTATTCGCATGGAGCTATTCAGATATGCCAGGGATTAATCCTTCTGTGTCCTGCCATTCCCTCAATATAGATCCGAACACAAAACCAGTGAAGTAGAAGCAGAGAAGATTTGCTCCAAAATGAAATCGGATCATAGCTGAGGAGATTGATCGGTTGCTCGAGGCAGGATTCATTAGAGAAGTTCAGTACCCGGCCTGGCTCTCTTATGTTGCTGTGGTGTAGAAAAAGAATGGGAAATGGAGAGTATGTATCGACTTCACTAATCTGAACAAAGCTTGCCCAAAGGATAGCTTCCCGTTGCCAAGGATTGATTAAATGGTGGATGCCACCACAGGATATGAGTGATTAACCTTCCTGGATGCTTATTCCGGTTATAATAAAATCCCCATGGACCCAATCAATGAAGAGAAAACTTCTTTTATTACTGAACAAGGGACTTACTGCTACAAAGTCATGCCATTCGGATTAAAAAATGCTGGAGCTACTTATCAGAGGCTGATCAGTAAGATTTTTAAAAGCCAAATGGGGAGAACTGTTGAGGCTTACATTGATGATATGGTGGTCAAGAGTAAGAAGAAGAATGATCACTTAGCGTACCTACAAGATGTGTTCGATGTGTTAAGGCAATATGGGATGAAGCTTAATCTAGCCAAATGTTCATTCGGCATAAGCTCTAGTCAATTTTTGGGATATGTGGTCAATCATAGAGGAATTGAAGCCAGCCCAGCGCAGGCAGAAGCTCTGATCAGAAATGCAGAACCAAAGACAACTAAGGAGGTGCAGGCACTCACAGGTCGAATAGTTGCGCTAAGCCGATTCATTTCCAAACTTTCAGACCGTTGTAAACCATTCTTTGATACAATTCGAGGCCATGGAAGGCAAGCCTGGGGGGATGAACAACGACAGGCACAAACCAGCCTGAAAGAATACATGCGCAACCCTCCGATTTTATCTGCTCCCGAGCCAAATGAGAAGCTCTTTCTGTATCTTGGGGTATCCAGCATCGCGACTAGTGCCGTTCTGATCCGTTGCAAAGACGGAAAGTAATTCCCAGTGTTTTATGTCAGCAAAACAATGTCTGAGCCGGAAAGAAGGTACTCAAAAGCCGAACAGATGATCTTGTCATTGGTCAACGCAAAAAGGAAGTTCAGACATTATTTTGAATCCCATCCGATTGTTATCTTAACAACTTTTCCTTTAAGAATGATCTTGCACAAGCCAGACCTATCAGGAAAAATGACAAAATGGGCCATTGAATAGAGCTCATTTGATATTACATACGAACCCAGGATGGCAATCAAAGGTCAAGCGGTGGCGGATTTCCTACTTGAGTGTGATGTTGAAGACTTGGTGGAAGATTATAATTGCTCCTTATGGAAGCTCTTTGTAGATGGCTCTTCAAATCAAATGGGGGCAGGGATTGGAATCCAATTGCAAACACCAGAAGGCACCACGCTAAGCCAAGCGATAAGACTTGAGTTCAGCGCAACCAACAACAAGGCAGAATACGAGGCATTATTAGCTAGGCTGAAGTTGGGTAAAGAGCTGAAGATCAAGAATCTAATTGTTTATAGTGATTCACAGCTTGTCGTTCGGCAAGTCACTGGGGAGTATGGAACCAAGGATAAAACCATGGAAGCATACCGAATTGCGGTTCTACGTGAGGCGAAAGGCTTTGATTAGATCAGGTTCATTTAATTGCTAAGGGAGTACAATGAAGATGCCGACCGCTTGGCCTGCAGTGTATCCAGTTCTGGAGAAACTCTAGCTAGGGTCATCTCGGTTGACGTGTTGGTCCAGCCATCCATTTTTAATGAGCTGCCTGATTCGAATGCTCAACACATTAATGTAATACCATATGAGCCGAGCTGGATTGATCCAATCCTGGCTTTCATACGTGATGGTGTACTACTCGAACAGAAAGATGAGGCAAGAAAAATTAGGTCCAACGCTGCGAAGTATGCTATTATGCGTGATCAATTGTATAAACGGTTTTTCTCGGGTCCATACTTGAACTGTGTTACCCCAACAGAAGCTCGACAGGTTATACGAACCATTCATGAAGGTGTATGTGGAAATTATTCAGGAGGAAGATCTTTGGCACACAAAGCAATGACACAAGGGTATTTTTAGCCAAACATGGCACGAGATGCAGAAGAATTCTCTAGAAGATGCGATAAATGCCAGAGGTTCGGGCTATTGATACACCAACCACCTGAAGACTTGCACGTAATGGCCACGCCATGGCCTTTCGCGCAATGGGGGATGGATGTGGTTGGCCTTCTACCGACCGCAAGATCGCAGAACAAGTACGTTCTGCTAGCAACTGATTACTTCACCAAATGGGTAGAGGCAGAGCCGTACCCTAGTGTCACCCAAACTCAAGTAAGACGCTTCATCTGGAGTAATATTATCTGTCGTTTTGGTGTACCAAGGTCAATCGTTATGGACAATGGAACCAATCTCGATAGCAAGCAAGTGAAAGAACTGCTGGAAGAGTATGGAATTAACCAGAAGTTAGCAGCCAATCAGCCATACCCAAGCTAATGGTCAAGTTGAAATCACGAACAGGACAATATTTGCCTGCATCAAGAAGAAGCTGGAAAATAAAAAAGGAAAATGGTTAGATGAGCTTCCAAACGTCTTGTGGGCTTACAGAACAACCCCAAGACGGCCGACCGGGGAGAGCCCATTCGCTATGGCGTACGGCACTGAGGCAGTGATACCAGTCGAGCACTTGGGTCCAACCGTTAGAAGCTTGGCATGGAATCAAGAGCAGAATGATAGAATGCTAAGGTTTAATCTTAATTTGCTGGAGGAGAAAAGGGATGCAGCTGCAATAAGGCTTGCTTCTAATCAATAGACTCTTATAAATAGCCATAACAAGAAGGTGAAGCACAGAGACTTCACCCTTGGAGATCTGGTTCTGAAAAGGAAGGTGGGGATAGTCAAAAAGATGTTTTCCCCATGGGAAGGTCTATACAGAATTGCGGAAGTCATAGGAAAGGGGGCATACGTCCTGGAGACCATGGTAGGAAGGTTGGTCAGTAAGCCATAGAATGCTACGTCTCTGAAAAGGTACTACCAGTTGCAGTAGAGTTTAATTTCAAAATAATACGCACATCTTAAATGGCATACTTGCAAGTGTACGAAATTTTCCAGTTTTATGAAACTTGTTTACTTTGTTTAAAAATTAGTTGACATCCTTCCCATTTAGCAAATTCAGTGGCACCTGGCACTGTGAGCCGAACGCCAAACACTTGCTCAAAATAAACAAAATACCGAGTGGCAAGAGGCATTCAAGCCAAGTGCTAGGCATTCAGCAAAGTCAGTGGCGCCTGGCACTATGAGCCGAACGCCAAACACTTGCTCAAAATAAACAAAATGCCGAGTGGCAAGAGGCGTTCAAGCAGAGCGCCAGGCATTCAGCAAAGTCAGTGGCACCTGGCACTATGAGCCGAACGCCAAACACTTGCTCAAAATAAACAAAATACCGAGTGGCAAGAGGCGTTCAAGCCGAGCGCCAGGCATTCAGCAAAGTCAGTGGCACCTAGCACTATGAGCCGAACGCCAAACACTTGCTCAAAATAAACAAAATGCCAAGTGGCAAGAGGGGTTCAAGCTGAGCGCCAGGCATTCAGCAAAGTCAGTGGCACCTGGCACTATGAGCCAAACGCTAAACACTTACTCAAAATAAACAAAATGCCGAGTGGTAAGAGGTGTTCAAGCCGAGAGCCAGGCATTCAGCAAAGTCAGTGGTACCTGGCACTATGAGCCAAACGCCAAACACTTGCTCAAAATAAACAAAATGCCGAGTGGTAAGAGGCATTCAAGCCGAGCGCCAGGCATTAAGCAAAATCAGTGGCAGCTGGCACTATGAGCCAAACGCCAAGCACTTGCTCAAAATAAACTAAATGCTGAGTGACAAGTGGCGTTCAAGCCGAACGCCAGGCACTTAATAAAATCAGTGGCAGCTGGCATTACGAGTAGACGTCAAATACATGTTCAAGAGTGAATCAATGCTGAGTGGCAAGAGGCATTAGAGCCGAACGCCAGACACTTATGAAAATTGAAAACAAGGTTGAAAATTGAAAACTTGAAGAATAGAAGTTATGCTGAAAATAAGCATTGACATTCATTACAAAATAGTTTTGAGGTACAGGGCTTGATGATCTGAAGATACATGAAGGTATATATATATATAAAAAAAAAAAAAAAAAAAACTGATGAAAACGATTGCTGTATGCTAGTTCTCATGGTCTTCTCCAGGCTGTGACTCGTTGTTTCCCCCATCATTACCCTCTGGACCATTGAGGTCTTCTTCATTCACAGCTGCACCATCATCCTTGGGGGGAGAATCAAGATGAATCACCCCCTCAGTCAGCATGAGTCTGTCAGAGGAAACTGAAGAGGAGGGCACGATAGTAGTAATGGGAGGAATGTTCAGAGGATGAAAGGGTGGAATAACTCCTGAAGATGCAACCTCTCTGCACTCGATAAAGATATTCTCAGCAGGGTCGTAGGGTGGATTTTGGTAATTGTTTGGTGGGTAGATATCCAAGGAAGTGTCCAACTCATCCAGACCAGCGCAAGAACTTGATTCACCTTCAGGAGGAGAACGGTCAATAAAACCGTCTCTATACCCTTCAGCATACCGGAGGGCACTGGTTCTGGTGAAGCGGGCAAGGAGAGTTTTCATACCCCCTTCAACTTTGCCAATCATTTTCAGCAAAGAAGAACGTTCGCTTAAGAGCTTTTCCTGTGAGTTGGCATGAGACAAACGGTCAGCAATAAGTGAACGCTGAAGGTCTCCCTTCTCA